GCAGTCTAGAGTCCCGCTATCAGTCTCTATTCTTAACGAGTGGCGCCACCTCTTGGGCATACAAAGAATAAACTTTGCTTGAACGTTTTGCAGTTATCTTACAATTGGATTGCGATGTTTTGAGGTTTCTTCTATGTGATGTGGTAACTTGACAGAGTGTATGTATTACGACATCAGTTGGCTGAAAGTCAGGGTACGGCGGGACAATGCAGGCAACGCAGCGACATATCGTATAGTACTCCGAGGTAAAAAATAACGATATATTGAACCATAGCCAGGGTACCCTCCGATAGTACCCTGGGGGGACATAGACCCTATCAGCGCTACTCTGCAGAAACTCGCAACAAGATAGAGAGAATTCTGTCTAATTTTCTGTGACTTTTTGCAGAATGAATGACATTGCATGCAATGGCAGGGCACTATATATATAGTCTATACTACAATTGTCCTGCAGGCTGCACTGTAACCATTCAGATTCAGATATGCATACGTCATGTACGTGCAGTGAGATCGTGTGTTGCAGAGAAGAATTCGAACCAGTGTGTAGCGTCTTTTGGACGGCCTATTCTTGGATGAGACGGATGAAATTTGATAGAGACTGCATGAGGGTTGCCCAATTTTGTATATTATACACCTTGTAGAACTGACAACAGTGCTTATAATAATATAAAATCATATCAGATTCCTGTCTTTTTGGCATTTCAGACTAAATTTGGTCCATTTTACGGTAAGGTCCTCCCTCCCCCCCCATAGGGCGCGCTTGCCGCTTTGTGCCCGCAGCATCCAATTGCTTCTCTCGGATGGTGCATGAGACTCCCTGATTTTTTTCCCTGGCTATTTAACACCCTGATTTGAATGGGATTTACCTGGAATCATTAGACACACACATTGTCACAATCATTGGTACACAAACATGAAGAAAGTCAACAACTTACCGTCTATTTTAATATCATCATTTTATTATTGAACCGGCTATGTGCACTATTAAAGTGCCTGTGCATCAGTGCACCCTAATATAGTATAGCATAGCATTACATGGCATTGATTAAATGGGTATCACTCCCTGGTGAGACTTTGCCATATATATTCATCCAATAATCCACATGTATAGAGCTACCATACGCTTAAATCAGCTTTAGTGCTAGTGATAGTAATCTATGTAATGGAGTTGTCATAGATTACTAGACATGATTAGATTACTAGACAGATGATTTTCAAAGTGGTACTAAGCACTATGCTGCACAGCATAAACTTTCACATGTGCATGTGTGTGGGTGGGCAGGGGATCATCCGATGGGGTGGGTGGGTCAATGCTTACCTGTTAATTGACTCCATCAAGGTATAAATGCCAATTTTGATATTGTGTCATGTTGCCACAATCAGGAATGCAATAGAACGCATTGAACGCATGGATAATGATTTTAACCAAATCCGTATTATTTATCTTAATTGTTGAACATTACCCACTTGTAAGAAATTTGATGTAAAACTCTTCACGTGATTAATAATTTTAACCAGTTGAAATTGGGTTTTATTTTGTGACGCCGTTGATATTTGACAAATCTGAACCTTGTTTGATTTTGACATTCGACTGAGCAAGAGCTGGCATATATATATACATTCTCCGACCAGGCATTAGAAACTGTGCTTCTAACCAGAAATATTATTCTTTAATACTGCTCTAAATGGTTAGATAAGACCAAGAACAAAATCCCCAACAGAATTTTACATGTTGACCGCTATGTAAATTAAACTGTAAATATAAGAAAATGAACAAATAGGTGTCGCTTCTTAGAAAGTTTCCCAATGAGTTATTTAATCAATATTTTTAATAAAGTTTGTTTATTGCTCTGTCACCATAGAATCCCACACCAGAGGTCAAATAACGGACACCTATGAGGCTATATGGTTACTTGTGTTGTGTGTACAGTCTCCAGACTCTAATGAAGCCGGCATTGTCAAATAAATCTTATCTACAGGGGCCCTTTTTCAGAGACAACAATTAGTCCTTACATTAGGCCTAACACGAACTTTTTCCTGTAGACAGTTGACAGGAACATTGTAAAGTTAGGAGAATGAAAACATTTAAATCCAAGCAAATTTTCTCCTAATATTACGAGATTTTAAATCTTCTTGTAATGGTCAAACTAAGATGAAAAGCAGGCAATTACACAATAAATTACAGTTATATTAATACTATATTTTGTATTATTTAGCAAAACCAATGTTTTTTTATTAAAAACGTCGGAAACACTACTTGTGTTCCGGTTATGATCCAAACCAGACATTTTCAATTGGCGATTATTCCTTTGTTGCTGATATTTTGATGAGTCATGGTGCTCACGTATGTATAGTGTAGACGTATGTATATTGGGCTATATTGCCATGTAGAATAAAGCATGCATCGTCATCCTGTTTCTTCATCAGTTATTATTTATTCATGACTAACTATCGCAATATGCACGTATTTCCGTTATGAATGTTCATTAAATGTGTATGAATTAGTTTTGTGATTGATTGTCATTCAATCAGCAGCGTTCTGACAGCAAATTTCGAAGTTTCTGTTATAAGAAATATTCTCGTAGCTACGATGTGTTTCTTTAAACGCTATTCTCGTATAGCTATTGTCATTAGTGTTGTCTTAACATTATCATTAGCCTTAACTTTATGATGTTTCTGAAAACGACAGAGGCTGTCTTATATATTGGAATATAGATTGCACTCTATTGAATGTTCATGGTACTAAAAACAATCATAAATTTTGCTTAGTATTTGTTTTCTTCTTCCATATAACATAGAGACGACTATTGTCGTATCAATATACTGGCATATATTATTACTAAAATAATTAATTGCATGCACCATCCAAGTAGCATCTTAGCAATCTGTCATCTGACTACCCAATAGCCTCGTTCACGAAACGAGACCGCGTATTATGAATACCGAATCTGAGACAACTACGCAGGCCTGAGCGTTCACCCATTGAGAGACCGCTGATTCGCGAGGCTCCAGAAATACGGTATTTTGCGAGCTGCGAGCTGCCTTTAAACAACTCAAGCAAACGAATGCGAAATAAACAGATGCAATGCGCACACAGCTGCCGTGTTTTAAAATAAAAATAGTAGCTGGTCCGCGCTCGACAGTTCACTTGCGTACACTGGAACTGTCGAGCGCGACATCCTATAAAATACCGGCTTCAAAAATGGCCGGGTATTAGCATTCACCACAGGAATATCGCGGTCCAAAGAGATCCGTATCTTTCTCGAGAAGCACGCAATTATCGGGTTTTTGGGATAGCCGCGTATTTACATCAATACCGGATCCTTTTAGACACTCGTATTCTTACGACCGCGTGCATTTGCATCGTTAGCGCTATACACGCTAAATTACCGGATTTTGGGCTACGTGTGAACGCGGCTAATATAGGAAGAGTTGTTTTTAGGAACACCCTGTTCGTTAGGGGTGTGATTTTGGTAATTCAGTGTATTAAACCTTGAAGTCTTGTATTGAATTGATATGAATCCCAAGAACTTCGCACTTCTTGTCATCTGTTTTGGCAGCTCTTTATATACAAGGCTTTTCGAGGAGAGCAGCATATTTCTGACCCCGGTCATCGCCGTCCAGCAGATTCTAGCAATGATTTGTACATATTCGAATCTTTTCGCACGGGCGCGACACTGGCATTTAAAAGATCTCCAATGCGATGTTTGGCAGAATTTATTAACTATTTCGTGAACTAAGAAATACAGGAGAAAGCATAACACCGTGCTTCTAGTTGGGTAGGTATGCTCTTGCATGTAGAACATTAAATATATTATATAGTATATATAATATATTATATATAAATATATATATATAGTAATATATATATAATGATAATATATGATATATTATATATAATATATATATATATATGTATGTATGAATGCATGTTCAGTGTTGTTGCTCATAGATTTGTTGAGAGAGAAGAGAGAGATACAATGAAAGAGTTAAATAGATAAGATAGGGATGTTCTAAAAGGCGTGTAACCGAATGTTGCATACTATATGGCACATCAGCGATACAGGGTCATCTGCCATTGAGGCGATCAAGGGGCCAAACCTATGCTAGACATAGGTCGTGCTGGCTACCAAAGGAAGATGCTTCGCGCATACAGAGCGCATGATGACCACTTTTCTTGATGACAATGTCCACATCTTTCTTGGTACGCCTATGCCTCAACACTGTGTCCCTACAGTTTTTGATTATCTTTTAAATGGTTTATCAAAGATGTGTGCGTATTGTATCTTATTTTGTAAGGTCGATGAAAGTTGGTATGATGATCGGTAAATCGAAGCTGTGCGTTTCAGTGGATCGGAAAGCGTCGATGACCCTCGATGATACCGATTAAGGCAGTAGTTCGCGACCAGGCCCGAGTTTGTGAAACAGCATAGAGTTGTTGGGCTCAACCATAAACTGGGGCAGAGTCATGGTGGAGATTGTTAATCTATTCATTGCATATCTTGAGGTAAGCTCTGTCGCTGTGAAATGCCTTATTAATGCTTTCACTGGCGCGGCTTGGACGGCGATATAATTCTTCGAAGAAGAGTTTGCAAATTATTATGTAAATCAATATGACAATGCGATCAAATGATACAGGTTTTACGGTGGTGTTACATTATATTATGTCGTTGTCACCACAAAAGCACATTAGATTCGTTTGCTGTGAAGGGTGCTTAATTAGCAGCTTCTGCATATTCAACTGCTGAATTTCGTTTATAATACACATTAAATATATATATGCGCAAACATTTAGTGTATTCATACGAACATTCTGCTATACTTAATACTGTATGTCTCAAGATGCTCTATACGAATTAGCAGTAGTGGATTAGGACAATTTTAATACACAAGCATTTCTTGTGGCGTGAAAGGCACATTCCGACTTTTGGCAAGTTTCTAAAATGCCGTTCTGTTCAGTTTGGCGGTTGTTGCGACCGAACATTTGGCAAGAAACCGCTGAGATGATAGTGCCTACGGAGCTGCCGCAACATAACAGTGAGAAATCAATGTCGTCGCTCGTAGAAATTGTGCATACTGATCAGCTCGATCACGCGCTACTGTGCGCTACAGTGTGAGCGGAGAGAGGAGACAATCGGGTGGCACTAACAGGTGTGGCAACGAATGGTCAAGACAGGGTCAACATTGACTTTTTATTTCACTAGAACATCGGGCTAGTAACTGAGGAAACCACTAGCCCTGACCTAACTTTCACTAGCCCAGACCAGACCATTGTTATGGAAAACTTTATTTATAATATAGAGTGTGGCATCGTATGAATTCATAAATTCTGTTTCCCGCGCTTTAAATCGCGCGTGGGCCGAGTTCACGTGCAGCATTCGTATTCTACCACGGGCATACACGAGCGCACGGTTTATCGATCGTCTACTGCGGCTGGCAGCAAGTCACGTTATTGTTTTTGCCGAAGGGTAGACTGGTATCCGGCCTCACGCTCTGCTAGACAATTTACACGCTCTGCGACAAACAGTGCGGCCGCGAGCCAGAGGTGACCTTTCAGTGCAATATATATGACCAATTCTAACACGACCAGTCGGGCTACTAGCACTCTGGTTGTATGCGACCGGACCAAGCATTTACCCGACTAGGTCGGTCGGACGTGGGTTAGTGTCGAACCCTGCAAGATGAGAGATAAGGCCGGCGACCGAGGTTTATGGTAAACTTACGGGCTGCGAGAGTCTATGAGACAAGCATCGCACGCCGATGTGCCCGATAGTCGGAACGGTTTTACAATTTTAAGCATGGGGGCGTCTAAGCGCTGAATAACTTACCTCTGTTGTTACACCTAGTAATACTCTGTTGTAATATACTTAATATCTATATATATACTGTGTTCTTACATCACGCTTGGTCTACGCCAAGGTTATTAATCATGCACGCTACACCACGCAGTGTTACGGTGGTTTAACCAGAGATGCTACATTTCCGGACTTTACTGGAAATCCGGATTATGTAAAAAATGTAAAAAAACTTCCGGGAAAAAAATTGGGGAAAAAAATTAGAAAATCCGATTAAAAAACCTGAAAAATCAGACCCAAAATAACACTATTTAGAAGGGATTTTTATAGTGATAAGATTTTCAACACTCTAAGTGTTTTAAAAACACTAAACGCAGGAGCCCCTGGACCCCCGGCCATGACGCGCTCCGCTCGCTACGCTTTGATTGGTCACTACTTAATAGTTGAGGATTTTTTGGAAACACCTTGTAGCATCTCTGTTTAACGTGACGAAAACGTACTACAGTACTACACTAACGTGTTGCTATGCGCAGGACAGAACCAAGACACCGATGTCGTCGACATGCATTTTATTTGCTCCTATCTTCTGCTATTTCTGTATGTTCTCACAGCCGCTTTGATTGCAAAGAAAATGGGACTGCCCATACACATTGTGGCAGCTGTTACAACCAACGACATTGTGTACCGGACAGTGAACAGTGGAGACTATTCCTTAAGCAAAGAAGTCATTCCAACTTTAGCACCATCTATGGATATCCAGGTAGTCATGTCGCACTCAGTGATGTTCATACGTATTACATTGATCTTATGTAATGTATGTGATGTTGTGCATCCATCAGTTTTGCACTATAGTGGCGGGAACGGCAACAGTTCCTGTATTACATGACTTTTTTTCTTTTTCTCTGCCAATAATCTCACGTTTTGTCTACTCTGCTATAAGCATGTGGATTAACTGCAATGCCGAAAATGACTCTGACTCAAACTGTTTGGTAAAGTTGGTTCGTGACTTGAGAATGCAGGTTAAGCGACATGTTTTTGTTGGGGGTCATCGCCACTAGTTCTAGGTTCATGGTGCGGGCAGAGGCAATACACAAATCATCGGGCCGTGGCAGAAACTTCCTATTTACATTACACTGAACCGTGGTGTAGGTACAATAACATTGGAACTGAATTTGACCTCTAGTATTTAATGGTAAATCCCTATAACAATGGTTTTACAAAAACCGGTTATCCTCAGCATCTATGCGATATCTGACTAGTAGAATGCTGGCAGATATATAACGTGACATTACGTCACTTCTTAAAAATCACGACTAAGCAGATTGGGTTTTTGCTTACAGGTGCCATATAACATGGAGAGAATATTGCTTCTCAGTGGCCAAAATAAAGAGGACATTGTCAATCACATGCATCAGTTTGAAAAGACCGGCTCTGCTACAGTTCCTCCGGACATTTTAACCAATGTTAGACAATATTTCTACCTGAATTTTCATATTTATTGCATGACAAGCAATGAACCATATATGCTTTGCAGGAACTTGCAGTTTGTTATCGCTGCCTGTTTGGTGTTGTAGATCAATACGAGGATCAGTTCTTTCGTTGCTAATGATGAGCTCATCAAGCAGACGATGCGTAAATGCTGGAACGAGAACCAGTATCTCATCTGTCCACACACGGCTACAGCCGTCGCATATTACTACAGTCAGTTGGAGAAGAAGAGGTAGAAAAAGCATCTGTATATACGTGTGTGTGAGAGAGAGAGAGAGAGATAAATGGAAAGAGTTAAATAGAAAGATAGGCAGTTCTAAAAGGCGTGTAACACGATGTTGTATACTATAGGCACATCAGGCGATACAGGGTCATCTGCCATTGAGGCGATCAAGGGCAAACCTATGCTAGACATAGTCGTGCTGCTACCAAAGGGAAGATGCTCGCGCATACAGGAGCGCATGATGACCACTGTTCTTGATGACAATGTCCACATCTTTTCTGGTACGCCTATGCCGTCACACAACTGTGTCTACAGTTGAACTTTTTAAAGGTTTTACAAAGATGTGTTGCGCTATTGTATTATTTTGAAGGTCGATGAAAGTTGGATGATGGATCGTGTAGATATCGAAGCTGTTGCCGTTTCAGTGGATGGAACGTCGGATGACCTCGATGAACCGATTAAAGCAGTATTCGGCGACAGCGAGTTTGTGAAGCAGCATAGAGTTGTTGGGCTCAACTCAATTAACTGGGGCAGAGTCATGGTGCAGATTGTTAATTATTTCCTTGCATACTTTGAGGTAAGCTCTGTCGCGTGAAATGCCTTATTAATTCTTTTCACTGGCCGGCTTTGGACCGATATAATTTCTTGAGAAGAGGTTTGCAAATTAATTATGTAAATCAATGATGACAATGGATCAAAATGATACAGGTTTTACGGTGGTGTTACATATATATATGGTTGTCACACACAAAACACATTTAGAATTCGTTTGCTGATGAAGGGTGCTTAATTAGCAGTTCTGCATATTCACTGCTGATTTTCGTTTATAATACACATTAAATATATATATGCGCAAACATTTAGTGTAGTGCATACGAACATTCTGCTATACTTAATACTTATTGTCTCAAGATGTCTATCGAATTAGCAGTAGTGATTTAGGCAATTTTAATCACGAAGCATTCGTGGGCGTGAAAGCACATTCAGACTTTGGCAGTTACTAAAATGGTTTGTTTCAGTTTTGCGGTTGTTGCGACCGAACATTTGGCAAGAAACCGCTGGAGATGATAGTGCCTACGGGAGCTGCCGGCAACATAACAGGTGAGAAATCAATGTCGTCGCTCGTAGAAATTGTGCATACTGATCAGCTCGATCACGCGCTACTGTGCGCTACAGTGGTGAGCGGAGAGAGGAGACAATCGGCGGTGGCATTAACAGGTGTGGCAACGAATGGTCAAGACAGGGTTCAACATTGACTTTTTATTTCACTAGACCATCGGGCTAGTAACTGAGGAAAACCACTAGCCCTGACCTAACTTTTCACTAGGCCAGACCAGACCATTGTTATGGAAAACTTTATTTAGATAAGAGTGTGTCATCGTATGAATTCATGATGCTGTTTCCCGCGCTTTAAATTGCGGCGTGGGCCGAGTTCACGTGCAGCATTCGTATTCTACCACGGGATACACGAGCGCCGGTTTATCGATCGTCGCTACTGCGGCTGCAGCAAGTCAACGTTATTGTTTTTGCCGAAGGGTAGACTGGTATCCGGCTCACGCTCTGCTAGCAATTTACACGCTCTTGCGACAAAGCGTGCGGCCGCGCGAGCCAGAGGTGACTTTCAGTGCAATATATTATGACAATTCTAACACGACCAGTCGGGCTACTAGCATCTGGTTGTATGCGACCGGACCAAGCATTTACCGCGACTAGGTCGGTCGCAGTGGTTAGTGTCGGAACCCTGCAAGATGAGAGATAAGGCCGGCGACGAGGTTATGGTAAACTTACAGGGCTCGCGAGAAGTCTGTGAGACAAGCATCGCACGCCGATGTGCCGATAGTCGGAACGGTTTTACAATTTTAAGCATGGGGGCGTCTAACCGCTGAATAACTTACTCTGTGTTACACCTCAGTAATACTCTGTTGTAATATACTATATTCTATATATATACTGTGTTCTTACATCACGCTTGTCTACGCCAAGGTTATAATCATGCACTGGCTACACCAGCGCAGTGTTACGGTGGTTTAACCAGAGATGGCTACATTTCGGACTTTACTGAAATCCGGGATATGTAAAAAATGTAAAAAAACTCGGGAAAAAAATTGGGCGAAAAAAATTGGAAAATCGCGATTAAAAAACCTGAAAAATCAGACCAAAATAACACTATTTAGAAGGATTTTTATAGTGATAAATTTTCACACACTCTAAGTGTTTTAAAACACTAAACGCAGGAGCCCTGGACCCGCGCCATGACGCGCTCCGCGTAGCTACGCTTTGATTGTCACTACTTAATAGTTCAGGATTTTTTTGAACACCTTGTAGCATCTCTGTTTAACGTGACGAAAACGTACTAGCAA